ACACGTACAGCTTTCTCCCCTGTCTCTTGGGGAAGTTGAGACTTATCGACATTGAGTTGGGATCCAAAAGCCAAGAGGATACTGTTGTCAGTTGTAAGAAACCATTTTCCCCCCATATCCCTTCTGGCCTTTTTTTTAGGCAGTGGTGTTTACATCATTCTAGAAACTACTTATCAGTTGAACTTCTGGTTTGTAGTAGGTTTTTATATGCTATTGTGAACGTACATGGTCTGCGACTCAAGTTCCTAAATCCTGTGTGTCAGATTAGCTCTCTACACATCTGTAAAACTTCTATTACATATGAAGATTACATCTTTGGAGACCAGGAAAGGAGGTAGGGATGAAAATGAGAAAGTAGGCACTCAAAAGAAAGAAACTTCCTAAAGTTCTCAGAGATTAAATATATTATGGCTGTACTCAGTCAAGCCTGAAGACTGTGGGCTCCTTTGGGGTAGAGCTGAGATCACATCAGACATTTCTGTTGAATATTTCTGATGAGTTTAATGTCACTATGAGACAAACGATGTCAGATTGTGAATATCCCAGGGGCTCAATAAAGATCATCACCAGTAAGTACATAGATGGGAGAGTAAGGCTTACATACTCAGCTTGTTTGACTGTACATGTGTTTGCAAAGTAGCTATATCTTATGTTTGTATTGAATGCTTCCCATCTTCCTTCCACTTTCTTTTTTTTAATTTATTTTATTGTAAAGGTGATGTTCAGAGGGGTTACAGTTATGTAAGTAAGGTAATGAGTACATTTATTGAACATTGTTGAACATGGTTACCCTCTCTCTCATTCTCTTCCACTTTTCCTCCCCTCAAACCCCTCCCCCCAAATTGTAAAGTTCATTTCCAATATGGTGTCTTGTGAGTATTGAGTATTGCTGTTGCATTGGTTCACACTTTGTCCTCTGTCTCACCATTTTGTTATTCCTTTTTCCTTCTCTAAATCAGATAAATGTATATACAAGACACAAGGTACCAAAATCAAAAACAGTGACAATAGAGAATAAACCAAAGGGGGGAAAAATGAAAGAGAAAAGAAATAACTTCACACAGTACATTCAAAAATAAAAACAAAAAATGAAAACAAAAAAAACACCTTTGTTTCCATGAGTTCGTTTCGCTTAGCATTCTTTTATATGGTCGTATGTACATAGCTATTGAGCTATTGTGGTCCTCTGCTTTCCACTTTCTGCCTCACTGTATTTCTGATTCTTCAAATCACAGTGTTTTCCTTTAACACTTAAACTCATGTCTTCCCCACGTGTGCTTTGAGGCAAAAGGCATTAGCAGACAGCTCTGCCGACCTCATGGCAGCCCCTCTGCTCAGTTAGTGTTACATGGATCCTTTTTTTTTTTTTTTTTGGTCGGTTGTGGGGCTTGAACTTTGGGCTTGGGTGCTGTCCCTGTGCTCTTCAGCTCAAAGCAAGCGCTGTACCGCTTGAGCCACAGCACCACTTCCGGTTTTCTAGTGGTTTATTGAAGATAAGAGTCTCATGGAGTTTCTTGCCCCGGCTGGCTTTGAACCGTGATCCTCAGATCTCAGCCTCCTGAGTAGCTAGGATTGCAGGCGTGGGCCACTGGCACCGGGTGTACATGGATTCTTTTCTACTCTGAAAGTACTATTTGCTTATCATCATGGGACTTAAAAGTTGCTTGACTTTCCTCCTGCTGGGAAAGAACATAAATGAAAATGATTTCCATTTCCCCATCAGAGGCTTAACATTCTGTTTGCTTGATCCACTGATGCAAAAAAAAGTATTCCAGGTGCTGGGCTCTAGACCTAGTGAAGAGCCTCTGACTGGGGGAGAGGGAGGAAGGAGGCCAGGGCTTTAATTCAAAGCCTGAGTGATGTCCCTTTGCCCAAATCAGAGATTCTGTTCTGTTTTATTTTGGGGTCAGTACTGAGCCTAGGTGCTGTCTTTAGATATTTTGCTGAAGGCAGTAGAAACTGTTTGAGCCACAACTCCACTTCTGGCTTTTAGGTGGTTAGTTGGAGATAAGAGTCTAACATTCTTTCCCTCCCTGGTTAATTTCACTGCATGAATCTCACATCTTAGCCTCCTGAGTAGCTAGGATTATTAGTCACAACATACAACTTAATTTTTGATTAATTGCTTTTTATTTAATCTAGACATCTGAGGATTTTTTAAAAAAATAGGAAATCTTGCAAATTTTAAGTGTTGATAACTTTAGAAAGCTTCTTGCAACAGTCATATTCAACATTTATGGCAACCAAAGGTAGCCTTTGGGCCTATAGCTTAGAGTTACCTACTCTTTGGAGGGGTTGTGTACTACTCATTCTGAAAAAGTCTAAAACTTCTACATGGGGAAGTACAACCTTACAGATCAGGCAGAATAGTAGTTGAGATGCACAGTGGAAAGGAGGAAGGAGTTATATCTGCTACCTTCAGACCAGCTGTGGAAGCAGGCCAGATAGGATGCTGAGGTTGAAGGCAAAGAAGAAGGTGGAGGATCTGTACATCTTTATCGGAATGACCATCTTCCCCACTGCTCTTCTGGATGAGCCTTTTTACCCTTCTTGTTATCAGGATGCAAGATCCAGCTGCCTACTGTGTAAGAATGAAACAAGACAGAAATTTCTTTCTCTGGTAAAATCTGAGTGTGAGCAAACGAGAGTGCTCTGTTGTCCTTTGTGTTTCTCCCTGGCTCATTCGCATGATCCACCCCAGATGATGGATGAAGGACAAGTAGGTGGGTAAGGCCCAGGGCAGGATCCTAACTGGAACTGCATCATTTCTGTCCACACCTTATAGGTCCCAAACTTGGAGACATGGTCACTCTTCACTCAACAAGAAGGCCAGAAAATGTGGCTTGCAGGAGGCAGTTCTTTGTTGGCTAACAAGTATGCATTTATATCAAAAAGAGGTAATGAACTGAGTGCCAGTAGCACACAACAATAATCCTAGCTATTTAGAAGACTGAGGTCTGAGGATTGTGGTTGGAAGCCAGCCCAGACAGGAAAGTCTGTGAGAGTCATCTCTAATTAACCACCAAAAAACCGGAAGTGGAGCTGTGGCTCAAATGGCAGAGCACTAGCCTTGTATGAAAAAAACTAAGTGACAGTGCCAGGCCTGGGATTCAAGGCCAAGTGCTTCTCATATGATGGGATATTTAGCAGCCTGCTATATTTGACAAGTGTCAAGTATGTTAGGTTTGGTAAGGTAGAGTGTTTTTTAGTTTATCCTCAGCTTAAAGTTTCTAGTTATTTTAGTAAGACTATATCAGCAGAAATGACATTTACTTAATTTAATGGCAAGTTATACCATCAAATCCTGTTTTAGATTTTGATGGCCTACTTTATTCCTGGTTAATCAAACCAACCAAGCATCATATGGTAGAGTTTTTTATGTTGTCGATTTGCATGGTTGGCCTTAGATCTTGCCCTTTAAAAACTTCTTAAAGTCACTAAAGCATTTTGTTTATATAGATTATATCTACTTATATATTTACTATATTAAAAATTAAAATAGATACTTACAGAAGTGTACAAGAATACATTCTATTCATTGTTATGCCCCCTTAGGAATCTCTATGCAACTGTGAAGGATCAATGTTTTTTTTTAAGCAAACAATGTTTTAGTGATAATATTATAAAAATAATATTTATCATTCAGATCCCTCAGAAAACTATTGGGAAACTTGGAGAAAAGGAAGGGAAAGGCCAGAACATGGGAGGCAGTGACTTCACTTAGAGGATTTCTCAGCCATGGAATCAAACCAAAAACAGCATGAATGGGTTGACTGATCTACTGTTGAGATTTTTACATCACAGAATGTTATGACTTAAAACATTGGAACAGTCCCTGAGGGACTGAGGTAGAAGACAGATATCCAAACTCACCTAAAGTGGAGTAGCATATAAAGGAAAGAAATAAAATGCCTTTAGGAGTTTGGAGAGATGGTGGTGCAGAGCTTCACTTACACTAGCATGAGAAGGAGCGAATACTGAACTTGTGTGCATCCACTTAACATCTTTGAGCCCCAGCCTCCTCAACTGTGAAATAGATCCTAGATATTTGCAAATATCCACTATGTTCTAGAAACTATGTTAAGGGCTTTGCAAGCTAACTTATTAAATCCTTTCACAATTGTAGGACATGTACACTGCTATTTCACCATTTTGCAGACGCATAGAAAGATGATATAACTTATCCACGGACATACAACTTACCATGTTGGTTCTTTATCATTGTTACACATTTCTGTTAACTCATCTGCTTACGACAGCATACACGTCTTAGCTCCTGGTGTTTTGGGTGAGGCATCGGGGCGTAGCTTCCTGTCTCTGCTTATTGTCTCACACAGCAGCAATGGAAGGGATGTCTAGGACCCATCTCAGGCTCAGGCTCAGAGCTTTTCAAAGTTCTTGTGGTCATTTGTTACCTTTTTGTGGGACCCGTGGCCTTTCTATGAATTCAGTACATCTTCAAAGTGAGTTGAGGAATTGATTTTTAAGGTCTTCTCTCATTAGATGAGGAGCACTTATAAGCACTTGTTTAACCTTTGCCATGTGGTGTGATGAAAACATGGGAGTAACAATGGTCAGTGACAGCAGACAAAATAGGTTTTGTCCATAACACATGCAAAGGATCTCCCAAATTCAAGGATTCCAAGGGTAGGAATGATAGAGTCATCCTAGATTTCATTCTACCACAGCTCTAAAGCTGCATAAACCTAGCCTAGCTCCTGGCCCCAGAGTTCTTGCTCTTTTCCAGTATGTTCCTCCTTCTTTTGAGAAAAGTGAATGCATCTTAACACCAGGTGCTCACTGAATTTTAATTCCACTTTTAAAGGTAAGCTTGAAGAAACTGTAACACATTTTAAAGAAGTCTTCCAAAAACACTCTAAACTCTCTGGTTATACAAGTGATTTCAAAGTGTGTTTGTCTTCTCTTGGATGGGAGGTTTGCATTTTAAGACTTGAGTGCCCAACAAATAATCCTAGATTTGTATTTTGAATTTGAAACAGATGAAGTGATTGGTTAGAAGAAGCAGTGAAGACCTTCCTTCCCTTTGCAGACAAGACAGCATGGAGCAGCCATTTACTGTGAATTCACTGGTGAGTTGTGTCAAATGATGCTTTACATATGGTTGGAAAGCCCAGAAAGAACAGAAATGGACCACATGTGAAATGAGTCACATTTAGTTAAGTTTAGCACTTATTTGCAGATTTCTTTCCAGTCGTGGGGCCTGAACTCTGGGCCTGGGCACTGTCCTTCAGCTCTTCAGCTCAAGGCTAGCGCTCTACCACTTGAGCCACAGCGCCACTTCCAGCTTTTTTCTTTTTTCTTATACGGTGCTGAGGAATTGAACCCAGGGCCTCAGGCATGCAAGGCAAGCGCTCTACCACTGAGCCACCTTCCCAGCCCCCGCAGATGTTTTTTAAAATCTATTTGTATGGCCTTCTCCTTTGAGGAAGTGACTAATAAAGCTATTGTCCAGAGATCTAAAAATAATTTTTCTGCCACTGTAGTGTGAGCTTTTCATTTGTCTGGCTTGATTCTATGGGTATAATCTATTGGAAAAACACTAGAGACAATTTCAGAGTTGATATTATAGCAGGTAGTATAGCAGATAGTAAGCCTCTTTGTTTCTGTTTCTCTTTTTTTTTATTGTGAAAATACCATACAGAGGGGTTACAATTACATGAGCAAGGTAATGAGTGCATTTCTTATCAAGCATTGTTGCCTCCTCCTTTGTTTCCTCTTCCCATCCCTTCCCATCTCCCCACTCCTGGCCCCCTACGGGCGCTCCCCCACACCTCCCTGGACAGCAAAGTTGTAAAGTTTGAACATGAACATAATGTCTTGTCAGTTTCTCTATGGATTAAAACTGGAGGCTTACCTCATGTAAAAATGGAGACCATTGTCTATTTAGCAGGTAAATGTTGCTTTGGGATTCTCATGTGAGCATGTATACACTTGAAGCTCATGTTCTTTTAATTACCCCCGCCCCTTATTCTCTGTCAGTGTACATTTTTCCTCTTGCCACATCCTAGAAGAACAGTTTACAAAAGAGGAAAGAACAAGTAGGGATCATATGGTTTGTTCTCTGTCCCAGATCAGTCTCTGAATGTAAATATAGATGGGTACTTTATGCAACCCTGTAGCCTTTGCGCTTATGACAATCAAAGATAATATTGATCATGTTCCCAGCCTCTCTCTCATGTGGCTTTGAATGGAAGTTGTCATTCTTTTGAGGAGAACTGTGGGGGCAACACATAGTTCTGGGAACAGTGGTATACTAAATACCCTATGTATACAAAGACATAGAAGTCTTGGCTCTTGCACTGAAAAAGGTTGTAATCTCATGTGCTCCTTTGAGTAAGAAAGTTCTTCACAGAACTCAGTTGCCCTCGGGATGTTTGAGAAATAAGGACTTGCAAAAACCCTTTCAAGTTCTGACCTTATGTTGTCATTCCACTGGGAGATTGCAATTTTAATCCTATATCTGAAGAGTAATCAACTAGTCATCTTGGTGGTATCTTGTGTTTTTTTGTTTTTTTTTTTACCAGAACATTGTGTAGGAATAACGAAAATATTATTGCACTTGCCACTGCAAAAATGAACACTATAAGGCTTTTTCATGTGGAGAATGTGTTTTCATGTAAGAAGTTTACATGCAAATGAGATATAGATTGATGGAAACTTTAAGTAATTTCCCATTTTACCTGATTATTTAATTGTACTCTCATCATTTTTTTCTCTCTTCTTTCATATACATTCTGTGTGTGTGTGTGTGTGTGTGTGTGTGTGTGTGTGTGTGTGTGTGTGTGTCCTTTTCATGTTTGTGCTTAGGGACGTGTGCATCACCTTTACTTCTAGTCGCACTTCTCACTTATTTAATACACTTAGGGATTATTAACTCTATTTTAGGAAGATGCTACATTCTAAGGAGATGCACTGATGATTTACTTTAAACCCCCAAGGAATTCATAAGGGTTGGAAACGCTTTTATGATTCAGTGTGGATTATATAGTTGTAAAGACAAGATTAAAGAAAAAGACAAATTATTCTTATACACAAGGAAGGCTGGAAGTCCTCTTTACAAAATACTCTGAATGTCATAGGTTTTTTTCTTTCAGTCATTATTTTATATCATTGAGGCTACTATCTTTGGCTGAATAACATTATTTTCATTTAGTGGTGTTGGTTTTTTACAGATGAGTGTGATTAGGGGAAAGTGTATGAGTTGCTGTAGTGTTGGAAATATCTCAGCTAACAATGGCTGTGAATTCTTGAGGTTGAGTCTCCAAGTTCACACGTTCCTATTCCTGTCTCTGGTGTAAGGAAGCTTCCAACAGCTTCTCTGAAATTAGAAAGCTGTTCAAAGAATAAAAGAACAGCACAGCATGGTATGGATCAAAGCAAGAGTGACCTTTTATTATTGTTGTTATTATATATATAGAGAGAGTGTAGTATAATTCAATATGTATATATAGTGTGTGGTAATGAAATCATTATAATTAGCAGTTCCACTTCCTGAAATATTATTTATATTTATTGGATAATATAGATTCTTTCTATTTGTATTTTGAAACATATAATAGAGTATATAAAATTTTAGTTTTCCTCCTGTATTTAGGACACTATAATGAATTCCTCTTGTCCAATAGTATTTGGTACAGATTAAATGAAGGAAATATGTTCTCATTCAAGAAGGGCCTGAGCTTTGGAGTTGCAGTCAGGCATATCTCTCTACCTTCAGAACTCTGACCAACAGGGAGCAGATAAAAATAAGAAATCATATTAAGTGAAGTAACCCAGTCCCAAAGAAATTTAGGTCCCATGGTTTCCCTTATTTGCAATAATTAGTGTATGTATAGGACAATCTTATCAGATGAGCTGAAAATCTCAAAAGCCATGTACATATGACCATATAATATGATGCTAAGTGACATGAACCCCAAGATATGGACACAAGAGGTCTGTCTTTATTGTTATTTTTTAAAATTTACCCTGTGATTTTATTATTATATATTTTATTTTATGTTTGTTGTTTCCTTTGTATGTTCTTCCCCCTATGGTATATCCTTGTTGTCTCTGTACTTGATTTTGGTACCCTGCATCTTGTATATATATATATGTCTATCCTGGGGAGGGGAAAGGGAATAACAAAATGCAAAACAAGGACACAGGATGATCCACTGCACAAAGGATACCCACAGGACAGTATATTGGAAACGAACTTTACAACTTCGGGCTTGGGCGGGGGGCAGGGATGGGGCTGTAGGGAGGAGTATGGGAGTGGGGGAGGGAAGGGATAGTGGGACAATAACAAGGAAGGGAAGGGGTAACAATGATCTACAAGTATTGTACTCATTGCCTTACTCATATAACTGTAATCCCTCTGTACAGCATTTATACAATAAAAATATTGTACATTATTTTAATATTACATTAAAAATATTGACACATAAAAAATTAAGTTGACAATCCAATATTCCCATTATTTCTGGTGACTTAGAACAAAAACTTCTTTCCTTTGGAGAATGTAGGGGACCAGGTCTTCATATTGTTTCTGCTCTAAATGGACCAGGCTCATTCACCCACTCACAGGAGGGTCATCTTGAGGCCATCTCTCAGTCTTTATTATGGAGAGGAATCCTGGACCTAAGAAGCATCTTTGGGAAAGAGAAACAGGAAGGATGGATGTCAGGTCCACATGACTACAAGACAGGTCAATAGTAACAATATCAAGCATAAGGAGCATGAGGGCTTAATTGGCTATCCTCTTCGTGGAACCTTGGGTAACGAGTTTATGGCTCTCTGGTTGGTTGTGTATTATACCTTTAAGAGCAAAAGTCATTTCAGACCTGTAGGGTTCTATATGCTATAAAGTAGCCAGCAAAGTAGATAAGATGGCATTGGAAAATCTCCAGATAACTAATCTACTGTGGCTTGCCCCTGAAGTCAGTATAGTAATTCATGGCTGGAGTAAAACTTGGTCTAACTTGATTTCTTTCAGAGCTTTCTACAAAACATTGTCAAGTGCTCTTTACACACTGTAGTTGGACTTAGAACTTTAACTTACTTGACTAAGGAAAGCTCAGGAAGCTATATTTCTTCTGGGCTAACTCCATTCTTTCAGAAAGAGATGAGAGTTGGGTTGTCTACTACCAGAGAATGTGCAAATTCCTTTGAGAAAACTATTTAAGTCATCAGATAGCCCTTCTCACCTCCAGAGAGCCTGAGTCTATAGATTTGACATATAGATAGTTACAAACTTGAATTTTTAAGGAAATTCCAGGAATTACAGATACTGCTGGTACTTGGACCACACATAGAGACACATAAATATAAGCTAGGCAGGAAAAAATAAGCTCTTACCTTAGAGCTAAATTTACAGGACTGAACAGAACCTAGGTTCATTTGTTTCTCTATTGTTGGTGGTAGTTTTGATCTCAGGAAAGCTGAATTCAATTGAAACAGAGACTAGAAAATATTTGCTATTAAGCTTTTATTAGAAAAATATTGCCTGCATTTTTTACCTTTCAAAAGCACTGGCTTTTTATTCAATAATGAATAATTACCCTGATTATATATTTTTCTCTATCCATTGCCAAATGTGAGACCAAGACAAACATACAGACAGGCACGTTATATACATTTCCAAATGTGCCTGGATATTCCTTATTAATAAAATTCAAATGTAGCAATTAACATGAGTGACTTTGCTTAGTAATTTGTTATCACTTTTCTCAGTCAAGGACTAATTCATGAAATTACTATTATGTTGAGGTCTAAGAGATTTTTGCATTTAAGAAATGGAGTTGGTTTTTTTTTATGCTTGAAGATGTTTAGTACTTTTTGGTGGAGTTTTTTTGTTGTTTTGTTTTTATTTTATTTCTGTCAGTCATGGGGCTTGAACTCAGAGCTAGGGCACTGTTCTTGAGCGTTTGTGCTCAGGGCTAGTGTTCTACCACTTTGAGCCACAGTTCCACTTCCAGTTTGGGGTTGGTTAATTGAAAATAAGAGTCTCAAGGACATTTCTGCTCAGGCTGGCTTCAAACCACTGACCTCATCTCAGCCTCCTGAGTAGGATTACAAGCGTGAGCCACCAGCACCTAGTTTCTGATGGAGATTTTTAAATTAACTTTTTATTCAGTAAAGTTGGAAGGAAGCTTTTAAAACTTCTCATTAAACTAGATCTATTCTGGAATAGAATCAAATCCTGAGATAGCTTTGAACTTAGTGACCTCCTAGAGACCCTTCAAAATCTTACTTAGCAATATGCCACAGAACTCAGATGGAGGATCAATAACATTTTATCTAAAGTGATCTGGAACACTTGCATACTCAGGAACTGTCATATAATTGCTCCTTGAAACCTAAAAATAGATTTTTTCCACCAATAAAAATACATGTTTTCCTGGGTGTGTGTCTTCTGGGTATGTTTATACAAAAAGATTATGCTTTGGTCATGTCATTAACTGTTGTGAAATGACTTCCTTAGACATGGGTGTGAGGATTTTCGTATGGAAAACATATGTATGAATCAATCCTTATACTTTTTTCCTACTAAGCAGAGATTCAAATGTTGCTTTGCAGAAAAAGTTAGCTGCCATGCCTGACCATACAGATGTCTCTCTAAGCCCAGAGGAACGAGTCCGAGCTCTAAGCAAGCTTGGCTGTAATATTACAGTCAGTGAAGACATCACCCCACGCCGCTACTTCAGGTCCGGAGTAGAAATGGAGAGGATGGCATCTGTGTACTTGGAAGAAGGAAATTTGGAAAATGCCTTTGTTCTTTATAATAAATTTATAACGTAAGTCTTGATGTAAAGGTCTTTGGAATGAGAAAATTGGAAAAGTGCCAGTGTAGTTTTCAAACTTTAAATCAATTTTCTCTTTCAAAAAGTGTGAAAAATTCAAGGTTTTCAGTTACCAAGAAATATATTGCAAGACCCCCAGACAAGATCTCTGAGGCTCAGGAATTGGAGGAATGGAAGGTCAGAGAAGAGAGGACCCTCTCAACAGCCGGTCCACTACCCACATTTTCATTTTTAACAAATAGACTTTCTTATTTCATTCTGCGTATCCTCCGTGGGAGCATAAGCTTTCTGGGGGAGGAGCCAAATTGAAGCTCCCTCTGTAACACATGGGATGTGCCATCAACATTTAGAATGTGTGATTTGGTACAATAGACTCAGGGACAACAATGAATAAAAAGGAGAATTCTCTCTCCTTGTAGAAGCAGTATCTTCACTTTATCTGTGAGCAATGCACAGGGATTTCTCTTCACTTCTGCTGTAGCTTATTCCTCAAAAAAGGTGGTTAAAAATAGTAACTCAATTAGTATCTCCTAATGCATTAGGGACTCTAGTTGTCATTCTCTCATAGTTATAAATTTTCAGTAAAGAGTTTTTGTTCTGAATGCATGGCAATATTGATTTACCAATCTTTCTAAACTCATACAGACATAAAAAAAATATGGTTTGGGTGAAGCCTAGCTACAGGTTCTAAGAAAGACTCGAATGACTTTAGGTGTTATAGAAGCTATGTGTGCTGACTTTAACCTTGTTGGACTGAATAACTATTATAGAAAAAATAAGAATCAAATTAACCTTTAATGGAAAGGCAATAGCAAGACTGTAGGTAAAATAAGAAGTTATTAACCCTGTCATTTTTGAAAAGGATGCTCAATTTCATTTCAGAAACTATAATTGAGACTTTGCAATCATATAATGAATGGTGAGATTTTTTGTTATTGTTGTTGTTGCTATTTTATGCTCTTTGTCTAGTTTGTTTGTAGAAAAGCTTCCTGGCCATCGAGATTACCAGCAATGTGAAGTACCCGAAAAGCAGGATATTATGAAGGTATTGTGGTATCGATTCTCAACTGTGGGATCAAATGCCCCCTAAGTATCCATTATTGATTCACAACCCCTTCCTTTCTTCCTCTATCTCTTCCTCTGGAGAGTTTGAGCACAAGAAATTCATTCCATTAGGCATAATGTTTCGATTTCTTCTCAGACATTTAATGACTGGTACTGAGCCAGTGTGAGGTGTCTTAATTGATGGAGGAAAGAAGGAAGAAGGATGTACTCATCACCTTATGAGGTGAAGAAGGAATTATCTTACAATCTCTCCCAGAGGCTTCAAGAATAGCTATATATTTCCATATAATTGCTTGAGGTAGTCATTTGGGCATGTTTTGATTGTTCTGTGCAGCTCTGGACCCAGTAACTCATTAAAAATCAATATGAGTTAAAAAGGGATGCTTCCAGCAACTATAGGCCCCCTCCATATAATGCTGGACCCTTTAAGTTATTTTTTATTCTTTTTGTGTTTTGTTGGTAACATATTTAAACTCTAGGCTTTGCACTTGCTAGGCAGGTGATCTACCAAAAAGCCATACAGTCAGGCCACATTAAATTATATAGCCTAGTGACATGTGCTGTCTTTGCTTGTATAACTAAACTCTGATGTTCACATAACAACAAAAATCACCATATTCCTCCGAATGTGAGCCATCATGAAATGGCTATATTTACGTTTTAAAAAGTTTGGATTATATACAGAGAGTATATAAATAGGATATAGGTAGGATTATAAGATGTTGCAGGAGTAGCCTGCCTAAAATACTCTGATTAGTATTTATTTGATAATAAAGACTGTCCTTGAAATCCTGTGAGGCTTAAGACTTCCTAGATTTTTGTCATGTTCATCTCTTTTACAGTGCTTATACTCCCTACATTACTATGTCTTCCCGTAGCATTGTCCCTCGATTTTCTTGCTCATGTAACTCAAAGAGTTTTGTATAGAAACCATAAAGGAAATTTTGATGGAAGGAATTAGTTAGAGATGTGTGTCCTATTATTAATGGGCTACAAGTTAGCTCAGTCTCTGTGATCCTTGCTTCCTCAACTCCAAAAACAGAGGGTTGTGACTGAAATTTATGTTAGGTTTTCCAGACTTTCCTGCCATTGCCAATCACTGAGATCTGAGATTGTAGCCCAGTGGACAGAGGCTTCCCTACCCTGTGCATGGTCCTATGCTCATTTTCAGCTACACACTCTCTCTCTCTCTCTCTCTCTCTCTCTCTCTCTCTCTCTCACACACACACACACACACACACACACACACACACACACATCTCCACACATGGTTAGGAATTTTTTTAGATGAAAACTCTGTGTCCTCTTCTTTAGAGAGATGTTAATTCATTAGATCTGGAATCAAGCCTGCTAATCTGTATGTTTATGAAAAGTGTCAAATCTGCTTTGCATCTTTGGGCATGTCTAGGAATCATTACCCTTCCCCAACTGCCTTTTGACGTCCCTTGTAACTCTCATGCTACATGATTTACATATGGAATGTACCCTTTATGTCTGCTGTCTAAAACTGTGTACCTGCCTAATCAAAATGCTTGTCTAACTAGTAGATTTAATAAACCCTTTACAAAGGCATAATTATTTTTAGCTTCCCTGGTTAAAGTTGTATTTTAAAGATCTAGACTAGAGAGATTTCTTTTCCTACCAGCATCTTTGATTACTTGTGGCTTGCTTTTCTGATGTAAACACCAGCTGTTTTCCTTTCTCAGCTGATGATCTGAAAAAGTACACTGAAAATCCAACTAATCATTATGTATATATATTTTTATAAGAAACTGAAGGAGATTGCATTCCCAAGGACAGATGAATTGAAAAAGGACCTTTTAAAGAAATATAACATAGAATACCAAGAATATTTGCAAAGCAAAGTAAGTTCAATTGTACATTTATTTCATGACTGTTTTCTGTGCAAACATTTTTTAATTTCACTTTTAGATGATGAGTTTTCAAATGCATGTGCATGTAAGTGAACATGAAAAGATGCAGCAATATGAGATGAACATTTAGAATAATCATGCTGATGTCCAGATTGAGCACTTGCACCAAGGATGTGGTATTTTCATTTTCCGGCAATGACTAATAAGGCAATGCATCAGAAAATGAATTTCCTGCAGTTATTTAAATAGAGCCTTTTGACCAAATCCTGCCAGAGTAACCTTGAGGCAGATGGCTGCTTTTTTCTTCTCTCTTTTTTTTTTTTTCCTAAAAGAACAGATAAGTGAAAAATAAGGACTCAGAATGTGATTTCCAGTGTATCTAATTATGATAGCCTTGAAAATATGAATTTAATTTTTATGTGTTGTAATCAATATTCCAGTTGATGTAGAGGAACAACTAACCATAGACCTGAAACAAAATTATTGCGCACAAGTATGGTCATTTCTGACTGTTAAATAAAGACCAGAATGACAGTGATGTCTAAAAGTCAAAAGGATATTGAAGGAAGAAATTGATTGATGGATGGAATAATAGCGTTCAAAATACACTTTAAAAATTCATATAACATCATTAGTGGTGGTGTTTTGCTTCGTGTGTGTGTGTGTGTGTGTGTGTGTGTGTGTGTGTGTGTGTTTATTTGTACTAGAGGCTGCCACACTCCCTGACTCTTACTTAAATTTAATCTCACTTTCTCTGAAAATGGTCCCAGAGCTTTCTGACATCCTCTGGGTGTGGCTGGAAGTCTGGTTTGCCTGAGATGTTTTAACATCTGAAGTTTCTCTCAACTATAGAGAGATATGATTTGATCTGAACTGTGACACACACACAGACACACACACACAATGATATTGGAAGCAAAGACAAAGTAACATCAAGGAAGAGAAATGTTTAGTCTAAATCCCCTCCACACTCAGCAGAGCCTACAGGGTCTCCCAGTGGGGAGCATGTTTAGCACCAATGCCCTGTTCTACTTGGAATGACACCAGTGACCTCATCGTCTGACCTCTGAGGGGGTAGAAAGGCAGCAACTGTGACTAGATGAACAGACTGGCCTGTAAGCCCTGGTCATGGGCAGCACCTGTTTCACCTGAAAGCTTGTTAGAAATCGAGAATGTCAGTCCCACCCCAGACCAGAAAAATAAGAATTTACAACAGTGAGACCCAGAGATGTTCTTGTACATAAAGTGCTGCTGTAAGCTACATCCCCGAAACTATCCACACTTACAGAGTCACCACAGTTTCTATCAACACCAGTTGTGAAGTTTGTTTAAACATTTTATTCTCTGACCTCTTAATGATTAGCTATTTTGTTAAGATATTGTGAGGTTCTTCTCTTTTGACAAATTTCCTGATTAGTTTTGATAGAGATGGTTGGAAAACACTTTGGAAGTACTTCTAAGCAGTTTCTACTCTGTGATAATTCTAGCAGAGAGTAGATTCTAGAGTCAAACGCAAAAGATTCCAGTCAGCTCCATCCTATTGGCCTTTCTGTGAAAATGGAAACATGCTATGTGCTACTTTCCAATATGGTGCTACCAACTGGGTGTGGCTACTGGATACTTAAAATGTGACTAGTTTGGGGGTTTTTAATTTTTTTAATTTTGATTATTTAAATAGTTACATGTATATCTAAAGAAATGCTTTATTGGAAAATGCAGTGTGGGGTGAGATGTTTTGGTCCATGTGACCTAACAAGTCATGCTGAGCAGACAAAACTGACCTCGATTTTTCAAAAAATTAGCAGTACAAACTAATGACTGTTGTGTATTTCTGTCTCTGGTTTAAAAAATGTTTGGCTTTATGACTGCAGTCATAGTCAGAATAAAGATCTTTTGCTGTGATGCTGTGTGGCCTATCAGTGTCAAGTTATTCTAGTTTGTTGGAAGATTAAAGTGTCTAATCCCACATGGGTGTGTTGAGTTGGAAATTAACCTTTTCTTCTGACAATCACATTTTTTAGAACAAATATAAAGCCGAAATCCTCAAAAAACTGGAGCAGCAGAAACTGATTGAGGCAGAGAGGAAGAGGATTGCTCAGATGCGTCAGCAGCAGCTAGAATCTGAGCAGTTCCTGTTTTTTGAAGACCAACTCAAGAAGCAAGAGTTAGCCCGAGGTCAGATGCGAAGCCAGGAGACCCCGATGCTCTCCGAGCAGATTGATGGCAATGCACTGTCCTGCTTCTCCACACACCAGAACAATGCCTTGCTGAACGTATTGGCTGATCAACCAGATAAAAGCAGTGCAACTAGTTTTGCTGGTCATTCTCCTCCTGTAAACAGGGCCTTAAAGCCAGCAGCTACTCTCAGTGCGGTTCAGAGTAAGTGAGGGTGGGGCCCTGGAGGATGCAGAGGCTGGGCGAATAGAATCACGTTTTTACAACCTCTGGGAGGATGTCTGCAGTTTGTTATGGGTCAGGGCAGTACCCCTACATCCTGTGAATGACGTAGCTCTCCTTTCAGTTCTCTCTGGCTTATACTTTAAGCAACTTTCAGGCAACTTCTTGCCTGGTTCTATAGATCAGATTATAGTAAATGAGATTAAGCAGGAATGGAGGTCTGGCTCAAGGGGTAGAGCACCAACCTAACAAAAAGATGCTGAGTTCAAACCTCAGTAATGCCATAAAAATAAATAAATAAATAGGACCATATTCTGTCACCAGATAAAGACCTTTGATGAGAACAACGCCAAGCACTTTTTCTTCTATGTGTTTCAAACAACAAACACACTTTCATTGGAGAGGAAAGGAGATCATAAGAAAATTGCCCAGATCTTTCTTCAACAATGAAATGTTTATGCTTAGTACATATAGCATCCTCCCGGTACAGGAAGTTCCTATGACTATGAATAGCTAACCTCCAAGTGCTGTGTATGTGTTTCTGCTAGCAGTACGTATTGCTAAATGCTGCTAATCCATGCTGGCAACATTCCAGAACCCAAGAGGAAATTCTTTTTGTCAGACATTGTCAGATGGAATTTGCATTCCATTTATTTTTTAAGAATCATGATAGGTAAACATTGTAAGTTCATCACTGCTAATTATTTACAAAAATGTGCTTAGTAGATTAAGTAATCTTAACTTTATTAAGATACAAGCAACCTGTAGTAATATTTACCCTATTTACTGTATATTGTATCATTTGCAAGATGTGTTCTATGCAGCTTATGCATTTAGTAGTATATTTTAGGTGCCAAATGAGAACATATACACCTATGGAAATGGTTGTTCTAGGGCATACGCATGTAAGCATCTCAACATTATACAGTTTTCTTTATAATTTTACATTTCTTCTAACCAATATTTTTAAGTTCTTAACAAAATATGAAACACTTGATAATTGTATTTTTGAACCATTTTGAAGGGTAAGATGCAAGATATATTTTTAGCTTTTTCTCCTTTTTCTGTGTCTTAGATTTAGTGGTTGAAGGACTGAGATGTGTAGTTTTATCAAGAGATCTTTGCCACAAATTTCTGCTGCTTGCTGAATCAAATACAGTAAGAGGAATAGAAACATGTGGAATACTCTGTGGGAAACTGGTATGGTCTTTTTTTTCCTATCTCATTGCACAGCATACTTTAGAATTAGCTTTTTTTGTAGTAAGCAGAGCAGAATAAAAACACACTAAGAGTTACAAATATTGTGACATTAGCCTTATGTAGATTAATTTCACTATTCATAGAGTGCTTCTTCTGGAAAATAGATTTTTTAAATGTCAAGGGCATTATGCAACTTGTTGTAGGAGAAATCAGTCAAACCATAAATTAAATCTTTTTCTAGAAAAGTGATACTTATGTCTATTCAGATTTCTAAGTCCATCCTCCTTTCTAAACTAAATTTCCAATGCAATCATTAATTTCACATACACTCATTTCACTTTCATTCAGCTTGTTCTTTCTGTGGCAGACATTACTTGCAATTCCTTTTCAGATACATATGGAATAAAACAAAATTTAGTTGATTTCCCTTTTTTTAAGGAAACAGTTCAGCAAACTGTAAGCCCAGACCATACTTAATAATGAACATATTACCTGAAGTATTGTAAAAAGACTATGTCAAAATAAGAGAGGCATCTTTTAGTTTATCATTGAAACAAAGATGAAAGGTTTATTTTAAAAGTGTTCTTTGGTGGTCTTTTTTAGATAGCCATTTATAGTCTGGATCCAGGCACATTTTCATTATCCAACATATAAGGAGAATAATATGTTTTATTCAACACACATTCACCTGCTGTATTCCAATAGTTCATTATCATATTTCCTCCAAGAGAAGAATCCACTGGTGACAAGCACACAGTGACCCACCATCTAATACACACAGTCATCCTCTTTGCCCATCTGGTGGCTGTATTGGGGCTGATGCCTCCTCCCTTACATCATATGAGATATTTAATTAGGTTGATTTGTGGACTAACTCATTTTGGTTGATCCATGCATGTGTTATTCACTCACTCTTTCATGAAGCATACATTTTCAGAGAGCCTTTATGTTCCAGCGCCATGCTAGGTATACAGTAGTCTATAGTAGCTTCATCCCTGCTGCATGATGGTTACCTGGTCCTTGGGAAAAATCAGATGATTCTAAGTGGGGCCAAATGGACAGAGTAGAAGTTCAAGATGCCTGTCATGGGAATGAACTATAGGAGCTAACCTTGTGTTTGGAGTGAGTGGAGAAGGGCTTGCAATCTAGATAGAAGGAGTAATGCCAAATTTACAGGAAGATCCTCAGAGCTAGAGCGAGGATGGCTGGCACTGTGTTCTAAGGGTGGGGCATGGGATGAGGAAACACAGCTCCTCCCAACCAAACAGCTCTTACCTGAAGATTGGCATTTACTTCCGGCCACTTCTTTTCAATTCTTTTTATCTGTGAAGAAAATAATTTACTTTTATTGTCTCTTTATCTAATTGTAAAAGCAAAACAACTTACTTTTGGAAGGTCCTACTGAGTTTCCCAATCTTAAACAAAAGTCCTAAGCCTTGAAAAGAAAAGACAAATCAGGGTGTAGTGCTGTGGCTCAAAGTGGTAGATTGCTAAGTCGTGAGTAGAAGAGCTCAGGGAGTGTGCCCAGGTCCCGAGTTCAAGCCCCATGATTGACAAAAAAAAATTATTGATGGATTATTGATGGATTGATGAGAAACAGACAACCTCTACAACCCTCAGAAATATGCTTTGTCGTAGTATGAAGTTACTCAACTAGTATATCTCTCTCTAAATAAATTTGCCTTTATTTGTTCTGAGTTGTTTCATTAGAGATCTAATAGGCTAAGACCTTATTTATTAATTAATTAAGCTCCCATAGACCCCCCCCCCTTCCAAATCCCAGGATGCTACTTCCAAATGATGTGTTCTACTTGAAAGAAAATGGATTATGAACTCCAACCAGCTGATTCTCAATACATTTGGTAAAAGTTAAGTTTTCATGTTAAAGTAACACTTTGTTTTGGGCTTGAGAGGAGGGGTGATAAGAGTAGTAGAGGTGGTCTTTATTCTGGTATCACATCCTCTCACATCCTACTCATTGTTTTTGTCCTATGCCTTTTGCTCATTCTTTTTCAGACACATAATGAGTTTACCATCACCCATGTGATTGTGCCAAAGCAGTCTGCGGGACCAGACTATTGTGATGTAGAGAATGTAGAAGAGTTATTCAGTGTTCAGGATCAGCACGATCTCCTCACTCTGGGCTGGATCCATGTATGTTTGACTTTTGGGGTTCGGTTTATGTTTGGATGGTGTGTTCTTTTCCTCTGAGAGAAATTAATTTCATTAATTTCTTGTTTTCAATTTTTTTCCAGCTATAAAAAAGCCATCATATTACAAAATCTTTTTTCAATGTGAAGTTGTATCTAAATCTGTCAAAACTGGGCTATGTTTTTTTATTGTGCCATTCAAAGTTGAGAAAGAGACTATAACATTTGGAAATTAGATGACTTTTTCCTGATGGTTTTACTGCCAGATTTTTGTTTTGAATAGGTAGTTATTATATGTTTTTGCCTTTTGCTTATGATCTACATTCAGTTATTTTTTAATTTCTTTTTTTTTTTTTTTGGTTGGTTGTGGATGCTGTCTCTCAGCTCTTCAGCTCAGCCACAGCGCCACTTCCGGCTTTTTCTGCTTATGTGGTGCTGAGGAATCGAACCCAGGGCCTCATGCATGCTAGGCAAGCACTCTACCACTGAGCCACCTTCCCAGCCCATATTTTTAATTTCTTAAGATGTTTCTTTGAAAAAGTATTTATATGGACTGAAGAGGGTCCATACATTTTAATGCATGTCCTATAAGCCAAGGATGTGTATATTGTATAAATGGATTTGGAGTAGAGCAAAGGGTCAAAAACAATGGGTTCCAACACAGTGTTAGAACTTTTTGTGGAGTAGGAAAGGCCTAATAAGTCAAATCGTATGGCACATCACATTCTTTGCTCTGCTAAGAGTTCACTGTAGGAACACCATCAAGTTGCTTTAGCAGTCTAAATGTCAGCTTTTGCCAGGCACAAATTGGGGATCATAATATTTGACCTCATATTATTTTGAATATTAAGTGAGATACAGCCAGAAAATTTCTAACCATGACTTTTTAGGGACTCAGAACTATAATTGTTATTATTGGTGATGATGCTTTGTTTCATTTTGTTTGTTATCCATTATTCAATCCAGTTAAAGGACAATCTTTTCTATTCAGCTCCACACAGCTGGGCTTGTGATGCCAGTTTAGTCCATTTGTGCTAGAGTAGGTGATTTATAAAGGACAAAAAATTTCATTCTTACAGTTCTAGGGCTGACAAGTCTAAACTCAAGTCTGTGGTCTTGGTATCTGCAGAGGATGCTCTCTGCTTCCAAATGGGGCGTTATTGCTCTGTCCTCACCTGATAAAATGCAAAAAGGAAAGAGATAACTCCTTGACCTTGAGCCCTTTTATAAGGGTGCTAGCAGTCAACCCCCAAAGGTCACATTCCTTGATACTTTTGCATTGCATATTAAGGCTTTACATGCATTTTGGAGGAAACACCATCATTCAACCATAGCAGGTAGGAGCAAAAGTCACCTTCCACATAGAGTACACTGGCTAGTATTTACAGAGCATATCCTTGGGTATCTTGGAGAGTCCTAGAGAATAAGAAGTGAACTCAGCCTGTGGTGTTCATGCCTAGAAACTCAGGAGGCTGAGGTCTGGAGAACTGAAAAATCAAGGCCGGCCCAAGCAGTAAAGCCCACAAGATTTCATTTCCAATATAGCCAGCAAGTGGGGCTGAAGATGTGATTCAGGTGGCAGAACACCAGCCTAGCAAGTAGTGAGACTCTGAGTTCAAACCCTAGTATCACCAAAAGATTAAAATAAAAAAGAAAGAGCCAGGCACTGGTGGCTCATACTTGTAATCCTAGCTACTCAGGAGGCAGAGATCTGAGGATCAAGGTTCAAAGCCAGCCTAGGCAGGAAAGCCCCTGAGACTCTGATCTCCAATAAACCACCAGAAAAAAAAAACAAAAACAGAAGTGGTGCTGTGGCTCAAGTGGTAGAGTGCTAGCCTTGAGCTGAAGAGCCGAGGGACAGTGCCTAGACCCAGAGTTCAAGCCTCATGACAGAAAAATGAAAGAAAAAAAGAAAGAAGTGATCATTTTGTATTTTATATTTGCATTACTTGTTTATAGAGAAGCAGTGGGTGGGAACAGAAGAACATACATAGCTAGCAAACATTGTATTATGTAATTTAGGCGGGTAGAAGAGACTATACATTACTATTTTCCTTTAGTCAGAAACTGTTAACCTCCAAAATTTCCAGGTTACCTCACCGACTGAGTGAAGTTAATGAGTACCTTCTCTCCTCCCTGAATTTATGCAAAACAATATAGACTAATATAGATGAATATAAGAAGTGATTTACAATAGAATTTGCAAAACTTTACACTATTTATTGTTGCTAACAGTAAGGAATATGCCTTACTGTTTTCTTGGAAATTACTGCATTTTAAGTACAATGTCAAGCAAAGCATGATTCCTGTAACGATTGCATTATAAAGCAAAAAAATTGTAGCAACCTAAAAATGTTATTCCTTTAAGTGATGTGATTATGTAGACAAATTGTTGTTAGTTTATCTTACAAAACAATTCCTAAATTAGAAGCAAAAGTTTTGTTTTTCCTGTTGTCTTCTGGTTATATAATATTTTCAATGGTAAATTTAAATTATTTTATGAAGTTGGCTTACTTCTAGAATTCCAGAACTCAGCTTTTTAATTTATCTTACTGTATCAAGTTGTAGTTATATAAGAATACAAACAACATTTTTGTTTCTAAACTTTAGTGGTTGTAAACACTTTTTTGTGCTAATTTTTGTTGGGCGGGGGGAGGAGGTTGTAATACTAGCAACAGATTCCAGAGCTAACTTTGCTCAGATATAAATTAGTCATAAGGAAGAAAATCTAAATCTGAACCAGACAGAATTGGATTTGGATTTAGGTTTCTTGGCTTGACTTGCTGTCTGAGCTCTAGGAAATTATTATTCTACTGCAAACCTTCATTCCTTCATGTGTAAGAGGTGGATAAACATAGCCCTGACCTTCTCTTGTGAGAATTCAATGATGTGTTTAGTACCTGCATTGCAATAAATGTCAATCGCTCTCTTACTATCACCATCATCTTCATTTCTTTAAACTCAGGAAATGGGAGAACCCTTCTCCCTTGGAAGAGACATTCTCCTCATAAGAGAAGTGGCTCTCTTGTCTCAGACATGCTCATGTGGTATGCATTGTCTGGAGATACATTCCCAAGCATATTAACTAGTGTGTTGACAACCTTATTACTACCTCCACAGCAAACGTATGTCCTTTGAACACTTCTTAATATTTACTAAGAGACATAGAAAGCTTCATTTTTCTATAAGAAAGAATTCCCTGAAGACAACAGGATGCCAGTTCCTGCTAGTCACACTCCTATTAAATATTTGGGATTTTAAAAGCTAAGGTAGAACAAGAGGGGTATGCTTTTCATTTCCAAAGTCTAGTTCAATCTCAGTATCAAAAAGGGGTGGGGGTAGGGTGGAGGTAGTGTCAGGATAATCCTATTCTTTGGCTAATCTAATTATTTATAGACCAGCAGTTATTGTATTTTTCGCTGTGGAAGGTGTTTCTGTAAATAACCAGATGACTTTCACTTTGTTCTATTATATCAACACGAGAAAAAACATTTCTAATTCCTGCACTTCTACAATCTACACTGGTTGCTATAGAAAGGAATCAAGCTATTGTTATAGACCCATTCTTCTTTAGTTAATAATGACAACACTAAAATAAAACAACCCATGCAATTAGTAAGAGCCAATGGCTTTCTATGTGCTAGGCACTGTCCTAACAACTCTGTACAGGTTGTCCTTTTCATCTTCAAACCAATCCCATGAAGAAAGTGGTTGTCACCAGCTTTACAAATGATGATGTTGCCAAAAGGAAGTTCAGTGGTCTGCACCCTGAATACAGTGAGTCTTGGAAAGAGGACCTAGACAATATGTACCAAGGACATTTAGGTTCTTGGTTTAGATGGTCATATTCTTTGTCTTTTTAAAGGTCATCTGATTTTAACTGAAATTTTCTTTTTGTGTACGTTTTTTATTGTAAAAATACTGTACAGAGGGGCTACAGTTACATGAGCAAGGTAATGAGTACATTTGCTATCGAGCATTGTTGCCTCCTCCTTTGTTTTCCCCCTACCATCCCTTCCCTCCCACCTCCACAACTACACCCCCCCCCCCCAGCCAAAGTTGTAAAGTTGGTTTTCAACATAGTGTCTTGTACATATCATTGTTACAATGGGTTAACCTGTATCCCTATTTAAGCATTTTGTTTTTTCACTTCCCATCCCCAAATTAGAGAAATGTATATACAAGATGCAGGACACTGGAATCAAATACAGCGAAAATAGGGGTTATACCATGGGGGAGGAACATACAAAGAAACAAAAAATTACATGGTACATTATAAATACAATAGCAAATCAGAAACAAATACAATAGCAAGGAAGAAAGAAATTTGTGTCCCTATCTTGGGGTTCATTTTGCTTAACATCATCTTATGTGGTCATATGTCCATAGCTTTTGACCTTTTCTACTTGTCCTACTCATGTACTAGTTATTGCAAATCAGAGAAACCATGGGACCTATGTTTCTTTGGGCCTGGCTGATTTCACTTAATATAATTTTTTCCAAGTCTTTTCATTTCCTAACAAATGGGGCAATGCCATTCTTTCTGATGGAGGCATAAAATTTCATTGTTTATATATACCACATTTTCTTGATCCATTCATTTACTGAGGGGCATCTGGGTTGGTTCCATATCTTAGCTATGGTGAATAATGCTGTGATAGATAAACACAGTTGTGCTGGTAGACTTAATATGCCCTTGTTTGTGATCATTTGGGTAAATGCCCAAAAGAGGGATTGCTGGGTCATAGGGGAGCTCTATATGTGGAGTCTTTTGAGGAATCTCCATACTGCTTTCCAAAGTGGTTAAAAAAGTTTACACTCCCACCAACATTATCTGAAATTTTCAATCACAACACATGCATGTATTTTCCATAAGTACATATGAACCACTGGTTTTGCCTTTCATGAACACAAGTCTGTGTAGAGTTAGAAACTTGGAATATTTGTTTTTATTTATCTTCTACTTTGTTTTCCAATCATGTGAACATTTGATGGCTGAACAGGATGAATCCCTGATATTTTCAACAGCCTGGAGCCTCCTCCTTCTGTTTCTAGGAAATGCTGTTGTGTCATTGATGAAAAAGGCACAAAAGTATCAATCAATATATGTTTCTGGTCCAGGGTTTCCAGTTATAGCTCTGCTCCTTAGCCAGCTGTATGATTAGGCCAGTATCCCTTCCTGTGTGTCTCAGGATGAAAGATGTCAAATGACTTGTGATGATTAAATGAGATGCCATTTGAAAGCCTTCTTTGTAACTTAACGTTTCTTAACAAGGGAAAAGCACTTTCCCTCCAGGAAGCCATGTCTCAGGCTTGCACTGACCCCGTACAAATATAGGAATGTATAAAGGAAAAGACCATGCCAATAAACTATTTGCTGGAAAAATCCTTATTGGATTAAAATGGTAAAAAAAAAAAGAAGAAGAAAAAGATGTAGTATTTCCTCAAAGAACAGTTGGTAGAACCTGGTTAGGCTACACTTTCCTTGATATGACAGTCTTCTGTTCTGTTCTTAGACACATCCCACACAAACTGCGTTCCTATCCAGTGTTGATCTCCACACTCACTGTTCCTACCAGCTCATGCTACCAGAGGCCATTGCCATTGTTTGCTCCCCCAAGCACAAAGAGTAAGTATGCCTGTGAGGGGAGACCTGGAATGTTTGATCTGGGCTGCTGGATGCAATGTGTCCACCTGCTACTTGGTGTGACCCAGGAAGCTCTTAGGGAAAAGAAGGGGATGGTCAGTTCCCAAATACAAATACTACAGTGCTGAGATCTTTGTTTTCTAAGGACCTTGTGCAGAAATAATTCAGATTTCTCTTTCTTCAAGGAATGTGTCTCTGACATGGACATTTAACAGGGATGTTATTCTAGTTTGATTTTTTTGATATCTTATGTGTACTACTTTATGTCTTATCAAAAACTTTACGTCTTATCATTCAACCTCAGCTGAATGACCCCCAAAACTTTCCTAGTTTGGAAGAAAAAGGTGATTGTAGAGTGAGTGTGATCATAGGAATCAGAGAAACTTACTTTGAAGTTCTGGCTACACCCATCCATCCACCCGTCTTAGCCAACTTGATCATTGGGTGTCCCAGCTCCTTTATACTGCCTAGCCTACATCAATGTGAAAATGAGCTTAGACAATACTGCATGTAAAATGCTCAGCATAGCTCCTTACACCACAGCAAGCACTCCCTAAATATTTGCTGTTGCTACGAACAGCACTACTATTATTGGAAACATCAGAAACACCTGCCCTTCTAGGTTCCTCCAGGGGTAGATGTCAGCCTTTCCTCTATGCGAGCATTTGGAAATCATTGCCTCTCCTAAGGTTCTCTCTTGTAGATTGTCATGAAAAGAACAGTGAGGGGGAGGGAACATGGAATTCCTAGTTTGTGTCTCCTTCCACTGTCCTATTTGAGGAATGTATCCATTGTGCCATTTAAATGTAGAACCTGGATTTCCCAATTGATCCTGAATTTTACACTTATTTTTCTTCTCTTCATCTCAAAACATAGTACTGGTATCTTCAGGCTCACCAATGCTGGCATGCTTGAGGTTTCTGCTTGTAAAAAGAAGGGTTTTCATCCCCACACAAAGGATCCCAGGCTGTTCAGTGTGAGTACATAGTGTTGAATCTTGGGGCAGATATCTATCTATCTATCTATCTATCTATCTATCTATCTATCTATCTATCTATCTATCTATCTATCTATCTATCTATCTATCTATCTATCTATCTACCTACCTACCTACCTATATCTATCTATCTATCTCTCTATATCTATCTATCTATCTAATCTATCTACCTATCTACTTACCTACCTACCTATCCATCTACCTATCTCTCTCTATATATATTTGTGTGTGTGTGTGTGTGTGTGTGTTTACTTCTCTGAAAAAACTTGACAATATCTTAGTAACTGGGAAAGATTTTAAATTAGGAAACCTACACTCATGTGTCAAACATTATGAAGTAACTCCATTTTTTTCCCTCCGTAGATATGCAAACATGTGTTGATAAAAGACATAAAAATAACTGTTCTGGATCTGAGGTGATAAGTACCAAATCGAAGCATCATCAGCTCTACACCCCTGCCCATGGTCATGTGATTGCCAGATTTTGCTAAGATGTTTCCAGAAATGACTGATATTTTATATTTATACATTTTAGATGAGGAAGTTTGATATTTATTGCTCTCGCATATTTTGAAGTTTTCTTTTTCAGTTGCTTTCTCTCAAGAGAGATAACATGGTATTCAATCAATATCTATTAATGTACCCAAATACTATCACCAGATAATAAATTGTGCTGCAAAAAACCCACAAACGCATAATTTGCCTGGTATTTATGAATGCTTCTGCCTATATTTCCAGACCTTTAAATGTTTATATTTTTTAATTCATAAAATGTAATTCCAAACAAGAAATTCTGTGTTTAGTTGTCTCCAAGTCAAGTCCTCTATTATTATTCCCTTTCCTGTAGTATTATAAGGGAAGCAGTTTCCGTATGAGAGAAGAAACATGGCAGCTGACTACTGGCAGAGCCTAGTCTGTGTTTGGGATGCATGTAAGCTCAGGCTCAGAGTCATGTTTAGAGTTAACCAATGTAGGACATCTGTGCAACAGGTGTCAACTCAAGAATCAAGTGTCAGAGAGCCTGGGACAATTGATTGACTGGATTTAGAAGACTGAAGGCAGAGGGGCTAAGATAAACTTTTAAAAAGTATATGTATGGGGCTGGGAAGTGGCTCAGTGGTAGAGCGCTTGCCTCACATGCATGAGGCCCTGGGTTTGATTCCTCAGCACCACATAAGCAGAAGAAGCCAGAAGTGGCTCTGTGGCTCAAGTGGTAGTGTGCTAGCCTTGAGCTGAAGAGCTGAGGGACAGCACCCAGGCCCAGAGTTCAAGCCCCACAACCGGGGAAAACAAACAAAAAAGTATATGTATATCTATGTATGCCTATAGATATACATATATGCATATATACATATATAATAATAGAGAAAATAGAAATAATGTTCAAAAACAGAGTAATATAAATACAATGTCATGGCATTACTAAGACTTGTAGTGATATTAGTGACTATTGTTTAGATAAATAAGTGTTTACCAGGGCTGAGAAGGTGGCTCATTGGTAGAGCACTTGCCTTTCATGCATGAGGCCCTGGGTTCGAATGCTCAACACCACATAAGAAAAAAAGAAAAAAGCCAGAAATGGCACTGGGTTCAAGTGGTAGAGCACTAGCCTTGAGCTGAAGAGCTAAGGGACAGTGCCCAGGCCCAGAGTTCATGCCCCACGACGGGACCGCCCCCCCCCCCCCAAAAAAAAGAGAAAAAGTTTACCTCATCCAAAAGATACAGGTCAAATAGAAGGAAGAGCACATTTAAATTAGTAGGGGAAAAAACTGAGAATGAAGCATGGTGTAGAAAATGTAGCTACAAATATAAGAAAGAAAGAATGAGAGTGATAATGCTAACCATTTTGAGAACTGGGAAGTAATCTTAAGGATGCTGGAACTGAGTCTCTAGGGACAGCCTAAATCTAAACAGACATCTGGGCCATACTGAGTTGGCTGCTTTTTTCTTGATCAACAATCCTGGATCACCTCTACCTTTTAGTTGCCCTTTTCATCCTCTAGTGTCTTACCACTTGCGTTTAATCTAGCTTTTTACTCTTTTCTTTCTAACTGTTATGCTTCATTTCCCAAATATCTCTCCCTAGATCTCTGCTTTTTTGTTGATAGGTTCAAACAAATCCTCACTAGCCACTTGTCTTCTCTGTGTGAAGGAGGCCAAACACAGCTTTCCCAGTCTTTGCTTTTCTCCTGGCATCATATCTGCATGGAGAACACTGGCATGTGTGTGTATGCATGTGTGCATGCGTGTGCATGCATGTGCACAGGCCCTGAGGCTTGAATTCAGGGCCTGGGCACTGTCCCTGAACTTCTGCTCCAGGCTAGCACTCTACCACTTGAGTTCACATCTCCATTTCTGGTATATTTTGGTCTTGGCTGGCTTCAAACAGTGATCCTCAGATCCCTACCTCATGAGAAGCTACAATTACAGGTGTCACCAATGCCCAGCCTAGCATTGGCTTTTTAATTCAATCTTTTATTTATTACAACAAGGGATATTCCCTGTGCTCTTTACTTGGATAAGTTCACATTCTTCCTGTTTATTCTTCAATATTGATAGTAGGCCAGCCAAGTGTTGCTTGTTTTTATTCATGAATCAGTGACCTATTTTATGACTACATGTATCCTTGGTAATTTCACATCTCAGACTTCAGAGAACAACTCCATTTGCTCTGTATGTGGAAACTTAAGTCCATGGTCATACTTTCAAAGAGTAAATAAACACTGCAAGGCTGGCCTTGCCATTTTATACTTAGTGTGCAGGCTTAATTTCTGAACCCTTAAGTACACCATAACACTGAGCAAAGAAAAGGATTATATTATGTCCAGGAATAAATTGTATCTGGTGGGAAAAGGGATAGTTAAAAAAAGAGTAAGAATCTCTGTGTAGAAGTAAAAGATGAAGTATTATAGCATGAGTATATAAATGATGTAAACAGTATAGATGTTGAACAGTACCTACTTATAAAATGTCTTGGTTGAGAGCCAAGAACATTCCCAGAGAGAAGATAAAGAAAAGCTGTGCACATGCAAAACCAGAGTTGTCCCTTTATAATGGGAAATGAGAAATACAAATTTTACTAAAAAGATATATTTTATCTCCTTTTTTTTTTTTTTGGCCGGTTGTGGGTCTGGGCCTGGGCACTGTCCTGAGCTCTTCACCTTGAGGCGATCACAGTACTACGTGAGACCAAGCACTACTTCTGGTTTTCTGATGATTAATTGGAAAGAAGAGTCTCATGGACTTGCCTGCCCTGGCTGGCTTTGAACCTCGATCCTCAGATCTCAGATCTCCTGAGTAGCTAGGATTACAGGCGTGAGTCACCAATGCCCAGCTTATCTCTTAAGCAAGATAGTCATTCTTGGTCCTTTGATTCTATTACAAGAAGAAGTAAAACTTTAGGTATGAGACAGAGTTTGAACATTGTTCCTTTAAAGGGGCTTTCTTCTGGTGTTCTTCTAGCCAAGTTCAAAGCCAAGTTTGACTTCCCAGAAAATCATGCTATAGAGGTAGACTTTGGGAGACAACAAACTAGTGAGCTGAGCTTGCCTGTCAGGGTGTCTTTTAGGTTTCAGGTCTGAAAGAAGAAACAACAGGATGTTAAGCCCACCATTGAGAAGTGCTTTGGCCATGAAAGAGAACCCAGGCCAGCTATCCTGGAGAGCTGTGACAGCAGACATGCTGGACCACTTGTGCCTTCCTAGCAGCAATGTGGCTTTCTCTTTTGCATATGAATCAGCCCTAGAGCTCAGCCACTGTCTTCGTCCAAAGTCAGAAAGAACTCTCTTTCCTTTTCAGGCTCCTGCTTCTATAGAAAATGGAACCTATCAATTTTGAGCTTTGTTTGGATTTTAATACTAATCTGTCTGTGATACACAGTGCCTGGCACCTAGTTTGTAATGTTGAGGTCCTTAACACTCTGGAACTTAGAATGTGGTTGTATATAAAGATAAGGTCTTTAGAAAGATGATGAAGGCAAAAGGAGAACACTAGGGGGCCCCAATCCATCACAACTGGTTTACTCAGGAAGAGAACATTGGAACCAGCACACCTACGGGAAAGACAGTGTGAAGGCGGAGGTGGAAGTCATCCATCTGTAAGGAGGGGCCCCAGAATAAAGCAATCTGCTGACAGGTTCATCTCAGAATCTGCTTTCCAGAAGTGTGAACAGAAGAACAACAATAAGAATGTTTATTGTTTAACTAATTTGGTATTTTGATATGGCGGCCCAGCAAATTAATACTGTTCTTAATGTTTACTGAATATTTGAGGTCTTTTTCCTTTTCTTTTTCCTTTTCTCATCTTTTCATCACAGACTAATGGGAAGTGGTTTTCTTTGTTGTTATGTGCAGCAGAGATTATTCTTTTCTCCACAGACCTTCTAAATTATACAAGAGCAGAGCAGAAGGTTTGTGCATTATTCTTAGCTACTGAAGTTACTCTCAGTTTCTTTTTATTAGGATTTTTGCTCATGGAAAGTTGATGTTGTGTTTGAGGCAAACTCTTAGAATTAGTTTTTACTAGTTTTGTTTCATGTACAGCCACATAAATGGACTTAAGATTGTGTTGTTGCAACAATTGACGTTAGTTGAGGCTTGCTGCTGAAGTGGTCCCAAATGTGGCAAGCAGATGTTCCCTTGTGAGAACATCTCCCCAAGCCTCACAGAATTCTCTGGCAAGATAGATTCTTCTGTGAAAAGGATGCTTGAGAAATGCCATACATTTGGCAATAATTAAGGAAGAAAAGTAAACATTCAGGCTTTGTTCTTCTTAGAAGAATTTTCTCATTATTTATTGTGCAGACAGCTATTATGTGAAGAACTCTTCTTTATTAAAAAACTTGCCTGTCCTTTGACTTTTCATGAAGCAAATATATTTTTTCTTTGGAAACAACTGGGGGTGGGGGAGAGACATAAGGTAGTGGTTCTTAAAGGGTCATAACACACGTCCAAAAATGACAGTTAAAAAATCATCAATGTCACAAAAAAACTCCTTGTACAACTAATATATGTTAGTAATAAATCTTTTAAAAATATATCAAAAGGTATGTCTTATTGGGGGCTACTATAGAATATTATAAACTACACAGCAAAACATTCATATTCCCATTCTGGGGATCAGGTTCGTACTTTGCAACCCCACCCCCACCCCATACACACGCACACTTCTTACTTTGTTCTCTCAGAAAAGGAGAGATATTATGGCATATCCTTTCTTGGAGGTCACTAATCCCATTACAATGGCTACATCCTCTGGACTGTATCACCTGCTCAAGCCCTTCCTTCTAAATGTCACCATATCCAAGGTTAGGATTTCCTTTCTTTTTCTCATCTTCTTCTTTTTTTTAATTTGTTATTGTTATTGTAGAGGTGATGTAGAGAGGAGTCACAGTTACATAAGTCAGGTAATAAGTACATTTCTTATTGAAGCATGTTACCCCTTCCTTTACTCTCAGTTTTTCCCTCCAGTCCCCACTCACAAGTTGTATAGTTCACTTTCCACAAAGTGTCTAGTGAGTACTGATGCTGTATTTGTTCACCCTTTGTCTCACTTTTTTCTGTATTCCTCCCTTACTCGCCCAAAGACAAATAAACTTACAAACAAGAAAAAGACAATGAAAACCACCACCACCACAACAAATCTCTTCCTTCCATTTCTTGGGAGTTCATTTAGAAAAATAT